CAAAATGCTTAAAAAATAATTTTTCATAGAGTTTGATGTACCCAAATTAACAATTTGCCTTTTAGTGAAAAAATAAAGCATTGATAATGTCAATAAGTAAGAAAGACCTCTAGTAAAACCTACACGAAATGATGGAAAAACTCGAATTATTTTGACTAATAATCGCACAGCAGTTCTTAAGGATACTAAAAATAAAATTTTCAATAGACACTTGCCCATCAGCTATTAAGAGAAAAGTCAAAATTTGGACTTCGGAGCTTACAAATGCTCAAAGAATCCATACGTATCAAAAAAGTTTTAAAGGACTTGGCCCACATTTGCAAATCTTATTAAAATTTGATGCCAATATTAAGAAATGTCCAGGAAAGTGCATAATAGCTATTACCATTTTTACTGTATTAAAATTAAAGAAATCTGGCAGTTATGCATCTTTGCTCCTCGGAAGCTACTAAATCCATATTTTCAGGTGTTTCTCTCAATAGTAAATAGACTAATAATACTGGTATTGCAGTTTTAGCCTGTTTAGGAACTGCTGAAAGACAATTAGTCAAAAAAGTCCTGGTTTTTCTACCTACTAGTAAATTTTTGTTCATTAAAAGGCAAATTATTAATTTGGGTACATTACCTACTAGTAAATTTTTGTTCATTAAAAGGCAAATTGTTAATTTGGGTACATTAAAGTTTATAAAAAAATATTTGTATAATATTTTGTTACGAAAGTTGTATAAAATGCTTAATACGGACTCGGAATTTATTTAATTCCAGGCCATTTTTCGAAAAAGTAGGTCCTCGCTATTTTCAATTCAATATTTAATTAAAATGTAATCGAAAGTTAATTTTTTATCAATTTAAAGTCCAAAACTCGTAAATTATCAAAAATAAACCCGATTACTATCATATTACAAAACTTTTTTGTGTTTGGAGACTTATCTGACATGCAAGTAATACGAGTTGCATATGTTTTGAACACCTTGATATCAACTACCTCATATAAAATAATTTTTTTTCAAACTTATTTTGATAGAAACTTATTTTCTTTTTATTAAGTTTATATAACTAGCTATACCCAGTGTGCTTCGCTACCCTCATCGTAATGAAATAAAATAAAAATTATTGTATATTTTCGGTCAGTCCAATATACATTTAGATATATCTGCAATATCAAAAAGTCCCCTTTCATAGATTTTCATACAGGTTCCTAGGTTCAATATATATATATATATATATATATATATATATATATACTAACTCACTGACTGACTGATTCATTATCGCGCAGCCTAAACGGTTGTATTTCATAAATTTTCAATCAATAATGATTGATTCTAGTCTCAAGGAAATTCAAAAAATATTAGTTGAAGAACGAAAATGTAAGAGAAAGTCCCTTTTTATAGATTTTAATTAAATAAGGATGGAGCATGTTAAATTTGCAACCAGAAATTCCTCTCATACAGAATTTTATACAGTGTGTTCAACTTTATGTTTTTAGGTTCAATATTACAGATAATTCAAAAAGTAATACTAAAAGAACAAAAAGTACCAGAAAGCCTCTTTTTATAAATTTTCGTTCAATGTTTATATATTCAATATTTTACAAATATCAAAAAGAATCAGTACGAAAACATACCAAAATACATCTTTTATTTATTTTTGTATTTCTAAGTTCAATAGTTTCAATGTTTCTAGGTTCAATATTATAGAAAATTCAAAAAGTACCTATTGAAGAACAAAAAATTCCAAAAAGTCTCTTTTATAGGTTCTCATTTACTCCGGGCTCTACATGCTTAATTTCATGTTTCCAGGTTCAATATTATAGAAAACTCAAAAAGTACCATTAAAGAATGAAAAAGTACCAAAAAGTCCCCTTTCATGGGTTCTCATTTACTTCGGTCTCTACATGTTTAATTTCATGTTTCTAGGTTCAATATTATAGAAAATTCAAAAGTACCTTTGAAGAACAAAAAAGACCGATTTTATAGATTTTCATTTACTCAGGGCTCTACATTCTTATTTTCATGTTTCTATGTTCAATATTATAGAAAATTCAAAAAGTACCTTTTGAAGAACGAAAATGTACTAAAAAGTCCCCTTTTATTGGTTCTCATTAACTCCGGACTCCACATGCTTAATATCATGTTTCTAGGATCATATTATAAAACACACAAAAAGTACCAGTTAAAAAACGAAAAAGTACCAAAAAATAGTCCTTTGTACCGGAGTTCCAAGTAACACCCCATTGGTATATTTAGTGTTACAAAATCTATCAATTTCTCCAATTTTATTAAAATTGGGTCAGTTAGTTTGAATAAAATCAAAATTCCCGTTTATCGCCCTTTTGGTACTTTTTTCTAACTATTGAAGTAATAAACATTTTATTACACAAAGTTGCATTCATAAATCAATACATAGGAAACAATGTTTATGAAAAAAGTACAATTTTCACCCCTTAAACGTCCGAATATCATAAAAATACTGAATTCATATTTTTATTTTTTCGTCAATATTCAAGATACATGGGGTGCAAAAAAAGTACCAAAATAAAGTTTTTATCCGTTTATTCCCTAAAGGGGCCGAATTTCAAACAAGTACCAGACACCTGTCTGCTTATTTTTTAAATGAACGACGATAAGCTTTGTTATTGTATGTTTTCTAGTTTAGGAAATTCGAGGAAACATTCGATTTTCCGAAAATCCCGTCTTAGTGGATCTATTTGATGAGAGACCAACCTCCTGTCCAAATTTCAGCTCTTTAGCTTCAACCGTTTAGGCTGTGCGATGATGAATCAGTCAGTCAGTAACGTTAGAATTTTATATATATAGATATTGAAGTACATATTCACATTTATATTAATTTTAATAAATATTATCTATTTAAAAATAAATTAATAAAGACGTGAAATCTTGTTTCAGTTCTGAATGTTTTGACCACCACTGTATTTGGACAATTTCATATCAAGTGACCCAATTCAAAAAGTCGATTTTGACGAAATTTGCACCAACCCAGCAAAAAAAGACGTGCAAAAAAAGTAGTAAATGCATGGGTTGAACTGATAATGAACTGGTTCATATTTAGGGGAAACATGCATGATTTTAACATTAGCGTGTCATTGGCATGCATGGGTTCGTATTTACAAAAATAGTTCGGCATTTAAATGAGTTCTTATAACCAATGAATATTGGATGATTCTCAAGCGAATTTTCATTGGTGGACTATATTTATTTAAAAATGCATTAATGGTATTTCGATTTAATTATCAATATTTAAATATTTTTTTTGCGTGATATTGATAAAAATAGAATAAGATAAAACATAACTAACTGATTTTGATTGGATTTAAATTCATGCAGAGGAAAAATACCCATTGTGTTTTAAAATCCGTTAAGCAGTCTTGTTTTTTTCCTTCTCTTATTAATGGACTTAATATTTCTAATTTTAATGGACTTAATATTACTAATTTTAACAAAAATCTAATAAAAAAAATTAATGTCATTTTTAATCTTTATTGTATGAAATGCACGTTTTCGTTAAATCTCCTAAGAGAATACTAAATTACAGTAAAATATTACAATTCCTATAGTGGAGTTACATGAGTGAATTTGGGTGCATTTTTCATGCCTTCACTGATGACAAATTTATTAGAATTTAGGAATGTATTAAAAACGCATTAAATATAATACTTACTAAAGAAATCATGAAAATATCCCTTCTTCTTTAACAACTTCAAAATTTTTTTGCTGGGAAGGTTAGTACTATTCGATAGTAGACCAGGCATCGGTCCAGAACTACACTAACGTGTCATTGGAGGGATGTTGTTCACTTTTGAGAATTTTGAACTACATCTAATTTTATTTTAAGAAGCAGTAAAAATCCGATATTTGGATGTTATTGACACGCTAATGTAAATTTCCCAGCAAAATCTTTGCTTACAATGATTACCATTAAGTACTTCATTAATGACTTACTTTGTAGGCAAAGTCTAAAATAAATCAAAATAAAGAAACAAACAAAAATAAAACAGTTAGTTTTTCTGTTTTTTTCCTTTTTTGTGCACACGATATCAAATGTCTATTTTTAGACAAACAGAAAATAAAATAGTATTTGTGTGTGAAAACTATTATTTGACGCACAATAAAACAACAAAGCAGTGGTGTAGTAAGAGTAGCATTCAACTGGTAGACGGAAGGTACTGAGTTCAACCCCAGTCTGTGTCGACTTTTTATTTTTTCATAAATATTCTATAAATAACTCTACTAAAAAACAACTTATTTCCAACCAAATAATATTGACTTACTTTTGGAACATCTCAAACAAAAATAAGTACTTTTTCTAGTAGAATTGTAAGCACTTTACTCGATGAGTTCTGGTGATTTTTCTAGTGAATTTGTAAGCAAATATTTTGTTGGGTTCATTGGTTTTTCACCAAAATTTGAAATAATTCGAATATGTTATTTGTGATTTTCAGCGAAAACAACTGATTTATGATAAAAAACTTTTTCAATTTAAAAAAGATCGTTTGCATAAAAATCTGATCTATTTCATCCAAATCGGAAGACATCGATTTTTAAAGTTGGGTCACTTGACTCGAAATTTCCCATAGATGTACTTAAATATTGTTTGCCAGAGGAATATTATTTTCGCTTTTTATCAGACTGGGTGTCAAAATTGTCGTAATTATTAGCTCATATAGAAAAATATTTAAAAAATTGTTTGGTATTTGGTTTAGTCCATTTCAGGGTTTTTTTTGGATTTTTGAAATTTATGTGCCCATTATAATACAATAAAAGTCGTTTTGCACTAACACTAGCAAAGAAATTCAAAATTCTTTATTTGCCTACAACAAGCATTACGTGCCTACTACTTACTGCTACATACTATGTAGGTAATATTATGGTTTGAAAAAAGATCTACTGAAATTTTAATCATGTATTATTTATTTTTTTTTATATAAAAGCTTGACAAACTTTGTTAGATCTGAAAAGTTGCATTCAAATTTTTTTTCGTTTAACAATTTTTAGGAAAAAAATATTTTTTTATTGATTTGAAATTTTTACAATTTTTCACAAACTGGTCAGGTTGAACCAAAAACAAAAATGTATTGCTATTCTCAAGGATTTACAAAATCTAAAACCTGTCAGCATTTTTAATACTGTGTACATAGACATTAATATTTAAAATTGTAAATACAAGGCTTTGCAACTCTCCTGCGCTCGCGCATGGGCTTCAAAAACTGATTTTGCAAATTCCAAATAATATCACCGGCCAATGTACTAATACATAACTTAAGAATTGCTTCAAAATTCAAAGGATTTACCGCGTAACTCAGTATAGATTTGGTAACTTGTTTAAGAAGGAAGTCACGATCAATTTCTGACGAAAAAATTAATGAATAATTTTAATAGAAATAATATATGTATATAATTCTCCAAAGCTTTCTTATATTTACCCAGTAATTCCTGTCTTACATCCATGACTTTGTGCTCGAAATGACACTGAATGGCTGCAAAGACACGTCTTCCCATGCCCACAAGAAGTTCTCGTTTGAATTTTGTAACATAGTGTTCAATAAAGACCAGTTCATTGCGACATAAGTTACTACAATTTGTTTTTTGCACTAAGCTGGTGGTGGAGTCGACAACTATGGATGTAAGAGACCCCTGAGGAAATATAAAATGAAGTTTTGAATTTAAAAATGTATATTATAATTTTCTTAAGAATTTACTGCTGGTGTCGGTTTTCGATTTGAAACTTCTCTAACTTCAATAAGAGGATGTATTTGATAACTCGACATACCAATAGTGCTTGGTATTTTACTGAAGGAGACCCTGCCAACAGAATCCCGTCTAAACACTTGACTTCCCAAATGTTTTTTAGCATCTTGAAATGAAGCAATAATTTGAGTAGCTCTCTGAATTAGTTTAAAATTTATATAACAATATCCTTAAAATATATTTCATGAAAAAGCTTACAAAAATAACGAAACTCTTGGCTTCCTCGAAGAATTTGTCCATGCGATCATAAACACTCTTGAACGCCATTTTGTTCGCTGATAAATCTTTATGGAATTTTGTCAATATATGCTGCATAATAAAATGTGCTGCTTTGTAAATTGGATCGTCTGGTTCAAAAGGGACTTTGACGTTATCTTCCATATCTAAAGCGGCATTTAGTGCTTTACAAACCTCACTATCTAATAGCTTTTCAAAACTACCTTGGAATTCAGTACATAGGGAACTATAGGTAAATGGTGGTTTAGCTAGCCTCTTTTTCGGTTCGTTTTCTTCTCTTTGTTTTTTTGGAAACTTATATATTTTCATGTGATTTTTCAAAGCTCTATTTTTTATTTCTTGGACGATCTTTGACCACTTCTCTTTGTATTTCTGCTTATGATTTTCTATAAAAAGATTCCTCTTCAGTTGCGCCTGTATCAATAATCTTTCCACCTTTTCCTGATTGGCTATTCTTTCAGATAAGCGTTTATTCCAGGATTTTCTCTGTTTCACTTGCTCCTGCAGCTGTCGAGATTCATATAGTCGGTGTAGATTTTTATGCAAACGATCTTTTTTAAATTGAAAAAGTTTTTTAAGCGAAATCAGTTGTTTTCGCTGCAAATCACTGCGTACATCGGCATGTTTTTGGAACTTTAATTGGCGCAAGGCCTTCTTATGCAGAACAGCAGTTTGCTTAATTGTTTGAATCATTTGTATGTAGGTAAGTTTTTCCAATGTCCTTTCGTTCAATATTTTATAACGTTCTGCTTGTTGCTGGTCTAAACACCACTTTCGATGTAAAATCTTTGAATATGTATGTTCGCGGGCGGAGAGGTTATGATGATCACGATTGGTTATGCATTCAGCATTGGCTATTAAAAGCTGATCAAGGTGTTCTGCTTCCTGTTAGAAAAGAAATATTTAGAACTAAATAAGTTTAAATAATTATACCTTTTTATATACCAATCGATTAATTTCCTGTAATATATAATACAATTGCGATTTATGCAACTGTTGACGAAACTCATTAAAATCTTTTAAATTGCATATTACATCGTTATCCAAAGTTATTTCACCGTTTTCCCTTAATCTCTTTAGGTTTATTTCATTAGCATAATAAGTTTCAAGTTGGAGTCGTGTAAAGGGTTATATTCCGGAAATTTGTCGTGTCCTGATGAATCAAATTCATGTTTTAAATGTCTTAGCTATTAAAATAAAAAATTAAATAGAGAATTCTTAATTAACAATGCTCGTATATTTTACCGATTTTCCGATCTTATTTTTCGAAAATATTACTTGATTTCCGGGGCATTTTAACATCGGTAATTTTGAATTTAGAGGTATGTGTTCCCATCCTGGTAGACTATTAATCGGCAGGCCAGACTGAATTTTTATATTTGGGATACAAATATTTCGTTTTGGTCTTCGCGGTAACGACAATAATTCTATCATATTCGGTTGAGACTACAATGAACAATTTACAATCACAATTAAAAAAAAAAAAATAATTTTTAATATAATTAAAAAAAAACTAGTTTACAAATTAGTTTACAATTGTTTGATATGTTTGAGTTGACTAGTCTATCCCAATAAACATCGATTCAAACTTGTGAAAATTGTTTAAAATTTTCTTGATTAAAAATGTATTTTTCAAATTGTTTTCAAATTAAAAAGCATAAGGTAGAAACTAAAGTTATTTTGTCCCATTCTTCACGCAAAGGCCGTGTATTTTCGATCGTTTTTCTGTTGAAGAATAAATTGAATGGGTTGTAACCAAATTTTGGTGGTACTAGCATGCATGCTCTAAAATTGACAAGTAGACCTTCTAGTCTATAATTACTTTAATAAATTTTAGCAGTCCAACACCGTGGGTAGACACTAGGTTGATCGATTATTCGACATTTTCCAAAAACCGGTTTTCGAATAGTTGGCATTAAAAAAAAAAACGGTTAACAGGTTTTTCATTATAAATAAAAATATCTATTTTAATTTGAAAAAATTAATGTTTATGTTTTAATTTGATTAATAAAACATGTCCCGAACTGATTTTTAGCAGTTTAAAAGATTATAACTTTAGATCTAGTCGTCTGATTTACATTATTTCTTTAATGTAAAAAAATTAGGAAAAAAGTGGGACACTTCTGTTAAACATAAGGTACTATTTAATCCTAGCTTATTCTATTCTGTTTAGACAATTTTTATAGGCATTCCAACACTTCCATAATATTTCAGCCGCAAATTAAGTATTGTAATTGGAATATAATCTTAAGATTGATAAAATTTTATCAAACAGTTAATAATTAGGAAAATCAAAACATTTAACCAAAGGTGCTTTAGAAAAATATACTCTAGTTCCTCGACTAGAATAATTTTAAAATTTAAACGTGTTTGTATTATTATTTACTTCAAAACTTAATTTGTGTAGTCTTTGAATACAAAGTAAATAAAAGTATTCGAAACTGGTTTTTAAATAGTGAAAAAACCGGGTTATTCGATATTCGAAAAATCAACATTTAGAAAAAACGAGTCGATGATATTTAGAATATTATTTAAAATTACAAAAATCATGTAAAATCACAAAAAAAAAAAAAAAAAAACAATTACAAAAATAGTGGTTTTAGTGATAATTTTTGGCACATAACTAAGTTTTGCAAATTAATCTGCCGGAATACATCTAAAATTTGTTTGTTGCCGAACTACCACCACCTTATGTGAATTCGCCTTGGGTACGATTTTAATTCATATAACTCCTCTCTGTGACAAATACGGAGGGTTATGATGAAGAGAAATACTGAGAAAATAGAGAACATATTAAAAAACGTAAAGCTTTAAAAGGAGGAAAAACTTTCACTACGAGATTCGTAAATTTTCTTCAGTTGTTAAACGAATTTCAAACAGAATAGACATTAAATAACGGTAGCTAAACTTGTAATGAGTCATTAAAAGAAAGAAAGAAAAATATAAACGTTGTTGTTATTTGGATTAAATAAAGTGTTTGTGTATACATTTTTAATGTTTGTAAAAGTTGCTGAAAATACATTAAACGAATGTGTGTATGTGCAAAGAAAAACCCCACCAGTAATTTTAGTTAAAAATCATGAATTCAACTGCCCAAAAATAAATCTGATAATTAAGTACATATGTACTTTAACCACCCCCGTTTAAAAACAACAACTACATTATCTTTATAGAGAAAACTAAAAAATAATATCTACATATTAGTTTATTTTTTATTGGATTGTGCCTTTTTATTAGTCAGACATATTAGTATTTGTATGTGGAGTACAAAATTTTGTTTTCCCCTCAGACTCAACACACACACACTCATTTCATACACACAGTTGCAATATTAATCCTTACGAGTACATGGGGATGTGATTATTATTTATTTTGTTTGCCTCCACGACAGTGAAAAAAACGTCATAGTGCAAAGTGGAATAACGAAGAAAAAATAAAAGTGAAAAATTTTTAAAAAATGGCTAACATTAATTATCCTTATTAACAATTCTAACAAAAACACATTACAAATCTTCTATTAAAAATCGTAAATGAAATTTAAATACAAATTGCTAATACTTTGTTATTATGTAAATATATGTACATTTTACACATACATACATATGTATGTATATAATAATTCCTCAATATGGTATTTTGTTATTTAAAGGGAAGAGTTTAAAAAACAAACGGAAATAATAAAGTGTTGTCATGAGGACGAAAAAAATAAGAACTTCTCGGAAAAATTAAATGAGTTAAAGTGTTTTTTTACTCAACCAATAGAAAGCATTTAGATTATTTTTAAAAAATGTGTAAAACTTGAAACTACACTGTCAGTATTTTATGAAATTATTGATCGTATTAAAGATTTTGGTATTCTTTCGTATAATATCTTTATTATGTAGGGGTCAAAACGTTACGTATCCGTACTACTACTTTATTCTTAAATTCTTTAAGATTAGTTAGAATAATTTTCACATTTAAATCGATTTTGAATAGATTCAATATATGTATGTACATTAGGTTGAACCCAAAATGGAAGTTGCTAATGTTCACACCGATAGGGAAATTTGGTTTCATTCTAAGACAAGCCATTTCTCAATTTTTGTCCTGACGTCAATATTTGGTGAAATTTTTCATATAATTTTGATTTTTTGTAAATGGTTTATATTATAAAATTTTGAAACAAAAAGCTTTCACATATACAAAAGTTGATATGCATGTGAAACTAGATTCCATTTATAGCAATTTTTCGTACTCCGATTTTATAATCAGCTCTTATGTCCTTATAAACGGATATTTTAAATATTTATATGTGCTGTATGATGCTAATATTGGTATCAAATGAATGCTATTTATTTGACTCAGACAAAAATTTGAAAAAATAAATAAATTTTAAATAGGTCTCATTTTCGAAATAAAAATGTACTACTTTTTTGTGACAAATTTTCTTTAAGCATCAATTTCTTTTTTATTCTGATGAATTGAAATAAATAATATTATTTTGAAGCAGAGGTTCTTAGCTTGATTTGATGTTAATATTAATACCAAATTATTTATATAAATTTGAAATTACGTCTTTTGAAATCGTATGTCTTTTAAATTTAAAGGTCTTTTACAGGAGCATAAGAGTTGATTATGAAAAACTAAGTACACAGAGTTAATACTAATGGTCCACAGTACACATAGATTTTTTCGTGTGTGAAAATTACTGTTGCACGTATTCATTAAATAAAAAAAATTTCATTATAATCTAAAATACTGGTAATAATACTGAGATAATAAGGAAAACCTCCCCAAGCTCTGATATGAAAATAATTGGCCTATAAATAATATCTAGGGCAATTATCAATTATTTGATTTTTTATTTCTTATTAAATAAGAATTAAGTTTGTTCAATATTTTTTAACACCAAAAAAAATTGAAATACGTTGTACTGTATAAAAACTGCGTTAACTGCATTTCGCTCTAGATTTAGCGTTTTATGTGGAAATTAAACATAGTTGAGAACGAAAATTATGTTTTTTTAATAAAATAATTTTGCAGAACATCATTACAAAAATATGAATTTAGATTGGATGGGTCTCATTTTGTTCATAATTGTCTAAAACTAACTGGTGTAAACCTTTACCGAAAATCGATTGAAAAGTGTAAAATTGGGTAAATAATATGACTTTCTTTTAAATTCTTCAAAAATTGTGGCATTAAAATTATATTTCATGAAAATTACAACCAAATCTTATATTTTAAAGAATGTTATCTTTCCAACAAGGTATAATATTAATATCGAGCGACAAATAACAATGTTATAGCAAATTTTATTTTAAATTTAAAAGGTTTTTCCCATAGTCACCGATTTCAAGAAAATTTTGTGAGCACAAATCTCACGATCATGAGAAATGATATCTTTTCATTGAAATTTTGAAAACTGTGTGAACCATTAGTGCTCAAAAATTTCGTAAAAAGTGGCATAATATTCTTCAATCTAAATTTATAAAAATTTAAATTAAAAAGACTGTTAAAAGGCTGTTTTGAGAAAAACAAAATTCAAAATAAAATAAAAAATCTCTTTTTGTTTTATTTTAAATTTTTATATTACGTGGCTACGTCAGTTTTCTAGCTTTCATTTAAATTTTAGTTTGGGATTCCAACTGGTTTTCAAGATATGATCAAAAATGTCCATGTATATTTATTTTTATTTTTGTAGAATTTATGCAAAATTTGAATTATCTTTAACACGAACCTTCGCGAACCTTCCTTTACCTGTTTACAAAATTTTGTCCAAATCGGTGTCTATGGGAAAAATTTTTTAAATTTAAAATAAAATTTCTCATAAATACTCTTTCCTTTCGACCATATTATGTATATTAAATAAATAAAATACAATTGATTTCATTATACACACCACACACATACGTATGTTTTCATTTATTTAAAATGGTAAGGACACTCTTTTACTGTCTTACAATTTATGCAGCAAGTTATAGGTCCATTCTGAGTTATGACTCTCCTCTAGGTTATTATCCTCAATGAACGATAAAATCAATAAAACTGAATTTAAAAATGAATTTCCACTTTAAATTAGAAATGGTTTTCTGTTTAAGTTTAAAAATAAAACTATGACCCATTTGAATATGATGTGGCTAAAAGGGTACAAATGCACGGTTGGGACTTTTTAAAAGAAGACACTCCCTAAACACGACATACTATTCAGGACTAATAAACTAAAAAAACCTTAAGAAATCAATAGTTTCTAAAAGTTATGTTTCAAGTTTTACGCATTTACAACTAAAAAAAAGGATAAAAATAAACCAAAAAATTAAACTTGAAAAATAAAAAAATATATGCGACATAGAAAAAAAATCAAACAAATATGCGCACGATTATAAAATACTTTTTGTAATACAAAAAAAAAGAAAAGAAGTGAAGTATGTACGAATATGAAAATAACGAAATTAATTAACATTAAACTTTAAAAACTATACTACTCGTACTTGCTAATGAATTCTGTATAAAAGCTATGTATGTATGTATGTGTGTACATATGTATGTATGCATAAATCCTATTTTATTAT